CATGACTTCGAGGGCGAAGTCTGATTTTAGTGGAGGAGACCTGTAACATCCGGACTCCCAGGTATAATATTTATATTTATTTTTATGAGTTGATTGAGCAACTCGACGAGTTGGATGCCCCAACTCGTCGAGTGGAGACGGATTTTGCCACGTGGGTTTTACGACCAACTCAACGAGTCGGAGGGACCTACTCGACGAGTTGGCGCTGTGAGAGGAAACCCTAAATCTCCAGGGTTGGTTCCTATTTAAAGGACCTTAAGCCCTCATTTCCACCTCACCAGCCACCTTACTCCCCTGTATGAAACCCTAATCGTCTATATTGATCTAAGAGAGAAAGAGAGCTAATCTTTGGGCATTTTAGTGCACTATTGGAAGAGAAGAGAAGAGTATCAAAGCAAGGAACGAGAAGGGCTGTTGGATCCGGTGTTCATCCACTCTTTAGCTTCTGTTGGAAGGTAAAAGTCACCACCTTGCTCATCATTTTAATTAGATCTCGTTTCTAGGGAGTTTTTAGGGCTTTTTCCATCTTCCCTTGAAACTTTTAGCATTTTGAGCTTGCCAAGAGATTGAGACATCAGATCTGGGCCTTGTGAGGTTCCTTAAGCCCAAAGGTCCAAGCTTTATCAACCTAGAGGAGATTTTTATTGCTTAGGACCCTAAATGGAAGTTGTTTTGGCATTTCAAGTCCTAAGTGCCATGCATGGACGTAAAGCTTGCAGCTTTACGTGGCATCTCAGCCTTAGGACGCTAGATCTAGAGTTTGGGGTTGTAACTCTGCCTTAAAATGTCTGAATAAGAAAAGAGACTTAAGGGACTCGCCAAGTTGATGAGCCAACTCGACGAGTCGGCTAGGGTTTTCCCCAACGATTCTGGAGAGGAGTAACTCAACGAGTTGATGAGACAACTCGACGAGTTAAGTTGGGTTTTCACGACATTTCTGAAGGAACGAGGGGACTCGACGAGTCACATAGATGCACTCGACGAGTCGGGTCAACATGGACTGTTGACACGAGTGTTGACTTCAGTTGACTTTAGGGTTTGGTCAAGACGGGGATTATGGAGACCATGGAGGCGTAAAATGGTCTTTTACCCATTCCAATAGATTAGAGAGAGAAAATAACTTGGTTTATTTGGAGTTGTGTGTTATGTGTTAATTAGAGATAATTATCGTATGTGTTAGGCGGAGGCTAGATCGTTGATTCGTGTACGAGGTCTATTTGCTTACTTACGAGGTGAAACTTCTCACTATACTTACCTTGAGTGGTAATTTTGTGTGACCGGAGGGTCTTGTGTGCTTATGTTGAGTATTGTGATATCCAGCATTATGTCTTTGTGATTTATGTTGTGTATTATGCTGAACTTTACTAATTTAGGACCGGAGGGTCCACCCGAGCAGTGGGACCGGAGGGTTCCACTGAGACACATCGACTAGAGGGTCTTATTTGAGATATATCCATGAGAGGCTAATGAGTTATGTGTGGTATTTTGGGGAACTTACTAAGCTTCGTGCTTAACGTGTTATGTGTTATGTGTTTTTAGGTACTTCTCAGGATCACGGGAATGCGCCGGTTTGATTGTACACACGAGATGGAGTTTATGTTTTTGAGGATCCTAGATTTTATCAAACAATTTATGAATTTGTATTTTTGAAAATTTGACAATTGTGGTTTTTGGAATGTGATATTGAGAATTATGTGGTTTGAAAATGAAAAATTTGTTTGAAAATTTACGGTGTTACAACAAATGAGCTATTTAAAGGCTGGTCATGGACCAAGTGCGCCGTGAAAGGGCCATGCACACCGCGAACAGGGACGACGTTGCTCCCCAGTCTTGCTAACATGTGGCGACTTTCTACAGGGGCGATGTGGCTAGCTTCAGGCGCAAGCTATGCGCGTCGTGCACGCGCGCATACCGATTTTTAAGATTTTAAAAATTGTGTAACTTCTTCATATGAGATCTATTTTTGACGTTCTTTATATCCATGGAAATCCCTCGACCCGATCTACAACTTTCCTTTAGACTTTGTCGGCAAATTTTGACTTTATTTTTAAAGTTATATTTTAAACATGCTTAGACTGTTAAAGTCCGTTAAAAATTCATAACTATCTCATCTGACGTCCGATCTCGACTGTCTTTATGTCGATGAAATACTAACAACGAGATCTTCAACTCCCGTTTACATTTTTTTGGCTAACAATCTACCGATCTAAAATTCAATATCAGTGCGCAGACTGTTGCACTGAATTTTAGAAAAATCATATTTAGACAGTACCTATACACACGAATTTGCTTTTACGATACCTATGACTTTTGTTTAAATTACTAAGGCTAATAATCGTCCTAACTCCGATTTGCTATTTACAGTATTATAGTTGTGCCGGTTTGAACGTGAAACTTCAATGGGTCATAACTAATTTGTTATAAGTCTGTTTTGAGCGCTCCTTATACATCCAGAATCCTTATTACAACCACTTCTTCTCACTCTTAGGCTATTCGTCCTAATATTTAATCTATTTTGATGAAAATTCTATCCCCGATTTATTATGTAGCTATAAACACACAATGTATACATATATATATACATACAAATACCACGTAATAATCAAATAACCCTCTTTTATTAACCTCAAAAGATTACAATTATTGACCCTAACCACTTCATCATCTTTATTAATGTCTAGTGAGAAACGCGGGCGTTACACATACACTGATCCATTTTGGGATACGGGTGTTACAAACAGGATGTGTGTAACAAAGTGATAACTAAACTTACCTTTTACATCAATTGAAGCTTTGAGCTTTTGGGAATTGGATGTTGATGAATGACATTCATCGTCGCATGTTATTAGGGGAAGTGAAATTTTGCTAGATGTTCATCACATTCTATATTAATCTATGATGAGTCGTGTTCAAGTGGGAGATTGAAAGATCTTGTATGCCCAAGAGTCATTGTAGAATTATATTGCTAATAACATAGATCCTATAGGGTTACACCTTATAGCAAGTTACCACTAACTGATTATTTATTAGTATAATTTGATTATTACTAAATATATCAACACTTGTATTTTAATTGGAAAATATTACTTTGGAAAATAATATTTTTCTAACATAATAGGAACTTTTATTAATAGGAAATAATAATAAAGAGAACAAAACTAGCTTAATATCATGTGGTATGATTATTTAAGTTGTGTATAATTTTTTTTGGTCACTCAGAGTAACCAAATGTTTACAACTCAACTAACTAGTTATGGAAAGGTAATTGGTATTTGGATTTTGTCCCTTTCAAGCATGGTGGCCGAATTTCATGATGGAGTGGTTTAGGATTGTTTTTCATTTGTTTAATCCTTTTCACCATGCTTGTAAAAGGATGTCCTTACTTTTACTTTATGCTTTATGGTCCATACTTTTGTATACATGTGATGCATATAAAATAAAACCTTGATAGAGTTTTTGAGCTAGTTGTTTTGACCTCTTTTTCTTCTTCTCTTGGCTACCCAAAACCGTAAGCATGAGGGTCTCTCCTCTCTTCTGTCTTCTTGTAAAAGTTGCTAGAGTTGAAGATAAATAACTTACTTTATATTAAGACTTATTTGGATATGTCTTAATAGCTTAAAAGTAACTTATTTACAAGTGTTATACTAACATATTTTGGTGGATTAATTCTTGCTTGGTGGATACTTCTAGAGAACTCTTGTTTTAGAGTTTCATGCCATCTTCATCAATTTTCAACTTCCCATGAGGATCAAAGTCTTCAAATGTTGTAATATTTTTCTTTATATGGTTGTTTTATCTTTCTAAGTCTTGCAAAATGATCTTTTGGTGGGAATAAAACTAGTTTATTTTTTTTAAAATTAAAGTCTTACGTTGCTATCTTTGTGTTTATGAATAAACTTTTGAAGAAAAACCCAACAAGCATGTATACACAATATAGTGTAAGTAACGGTAAATGTATAAATACTATATAAAAACTCAAACAATGAAAGTATATATAAACAATAAAGAAGGAAGGAGATTCTAGTAACACACTCTTAAAGTATAGAGGAAAACTTCATGACAAGCAATGAATGAATATACAAACAACGGTAGAAAATTCATGACAAGAACACTATCGAAAAGAAATATAGTAAATATACTAATTCGCTACCATCCTCCGACTCTATGTGAAACATTCGTCATGTAGGTAGTTTGAAATGTCTTTAAAAACCATTTAAAACAAATTTTGTGTGGAAAACATCCCAATACATTAATATCTTTAAACAATAAGAATAACTAGGAAAATGGCCATGCTGCGCTATGGGTTTGTTTGTTTGATATATTTGTATTTCTTATTTATGTTTGTTGCAGGTGGTTAAGACTTAATAGGTTTTATATGTAACTTTCGTCTGGAAGTTTGAGTACATGTATAGTAACACTCAACTCGTATAGTGTTTAAAATGGTATAAGTTGTAAGTTTTGTGTTGTGTGTAGCAGTGTGGTTCAATTTGATAACAAAACAGTGAGTATAAAAGTAGCATTTAAAATTTTTTGGAAGATTGTCAGCAAAGGTTTGTCCTACTTATGTTGCATCTGATTCGGTTTTATAAACAATATATCATAAGTTTAAGGGTTTTATGCGCAAAAGTTATACAAAGTTTAACAAAAGGTGGAGTGACTACTACAAGGTTTTTGTGTCAAGTCATGAGTGTGGACGGCGCTGCCATTTTGACGCCTGCTTAGGTTCAGCTTCATCTGTTGGTCAGTAATAAATTGTTAGTATGTTGTTGACCTGCATGTTTCATGTGATAGTGTTTACCTGTATCGTCATAGGAAAGCATTCTTGTACTTTTTGATGCATAGGTTTTCGAAGATGATTCTGGAAAGTGTGGTGTTGGTGTATTTGAAGTCGTTGACTGCTGAAGGGGAGTTTCATCCTCGATATCAACAGTTGTGAAGCGAATGTTGGCCGCACTCGAGTTTTTGGTCATTTGTAATACCTATTTTTTTTGTAAACCTTTTCAATCTTGGATGAAGGGTGGTAAGGTTTTTCTATGAGTATGTCCATGTTGTTGTATAGCCTTTTCAGATGTTATCGAATTGAGTTTTTCGACTGTGTTTTCGGATAAGTTTGCGGTTATCGAGTCTGTAGTATCTGTCAATGTTGTTGAAAGTTTGTACCTGTTTTCATGTAGATGCAGTTATTGTAATTTAATTTGTACCAGTGTTAGTCATGTTTTGGAGGACAACTTACATGAAGATTGGGGTTGTGACTGTTCCATCTGATGTACAGAACCAGTCGTTACCCTTTTTAAAGCTGCTTGTATTACATAGGGGGCATAGAACTTGGTACTAGTTGTTTGTAAATGTGATGTTAACCGCAGATGCTTTTACAGTAAAGGTTTTGTCCTATTGTAGGATGTTAATTAGATATTGAAAGTAACATTTTATTGGGTTCATTTTGAGTATGTAAATGTAAGTTGGTATATCTTACCAATAGTTCTGAATATGGTTTTTCGTTTATGTCATGTAACGGTGTTGGAGGGCCTTTACATGCAGAACGGGACGTACAATTTCGCACAAACCTGTAATTTTTGTTTTTTTAGTGCGTACATATAGTAAATTATGCTCTAAAGCAACTGTCTATGATACCTGTCAAGTAGGGCAGCTGTTTCTAGAATTGATGGGTCAATACTTGCTGACAATAATTTTTGTGAATGTATGTATTTTACAATGTCTTGTTTCCTACATACCTTCAACTGTCATGATCTTTGCATTTGTCACAGCAAGAACTGTTGGAGCAGGTGTGGCCTCAATAAGGTTGCGGTCAAAATTTTCCAGTACATTGGTACATTCTTTCCATAGACCAATAGGAATTTCTTTGTCACTGTTTTTCGTTTGTTGTTAGTGTGTTGGTAATAGGTAATATAAATGTTGAATTAGTTACAACTTACGATTCAGTTGTGAGTATGAGAAGTGTGTAAGGTTCCTTGTTTTTTGTCTTGAGTTCTCTGGATTTCACAAACACACCTAAGAAATCTACATCGGAATTAGCTGGTACGTTAGTAAATAGAAATTGTTTTGTGCGATTCATTATTGTAGTTGTGTATATATTGTTATACCTGGCGCTTGTTTTACATAGTCTGGTATTTGGCTTTTGAATATAAAGTGAAACGAAGTTGTAGGTGTTATTCTTGTATCTGGAATTCGGCAGATTGAGGAGGCATTGACAACACTAATATTTATTTCTTTGCCTATCCAGTTTTGATATTCGTCCGGTTCGGCACATGCATAGTCAGAGATAGTGTAACAGTTTGAAATAGTCAATATGGATTTTATGTGGCCTTGATCCTTTTTCTGTCCCAAAATCTGAATGGTATCTCCCTGTTTTTATGTAGGGCAGTAAAAATAATATTATTATATACAAGAGTACGGACATTTATAAGAAAGCTTAGATACTTACATGCTTGTCGACTGCTAGGAACCAGGTTTCATATGATCGAATTTGTGGAGTCCATGTGCGTAAAATGTGAACCTGCAATGCTCCTCCTGAACATCCATATTCCAATGTAGAAATAGTTGTAGAATCCTCAGACATGGGTCTATGAGTAGAGTTAAAGAAAGAGTTAGATTGTAAGGTACAAAAGCTAGCAATCCAATAATCAGATAATAGTTAACATATTATGTAATAAGTTGTTAGAAAGTAAATAATGTAATGTCATAAATTTGTATGTGTAGTCAGGCTGTTGTGAACGTCAAAAATTTCTACTTTGTGTAACAAATATTTGAAAACAACGTGTTTCGTTAAGTTGTTTGCTGTGTTTGTGTCATTTTTTATGAGAACTTTGATGGAATTGGGAGATGTGGCTCGAGATAGAGCAACATACAGTTGACCATGGGTGAAAACAGGTTGGGACAAGTAAACACCAATTTTTTTTAGTGATTGCCTTGGCTCTTGTTTATTGTCATGGTGTAACTGTTGGATTAGATGTCTAAGCCCATAACTATTATTGGTATCTACTTGACCCGAGAGTAGCATGGTCAATTTGGGTTGCATATCATCAGGACAATTTGTTAGGATGGACTCTTGAGAGAAGGTTATATATGATTTATTAATATATTATAAGTACTAATATATTAATATGAAATCATATGGTTTTAATTAGTATTGAACAAGAATTAATTTTGAATTGATTTAGTGATCAAAAGGAGACTAATTAAAACCTATGGGGACTAATTATGTTAATTAGTTATATTTATGTGTGTTGGGCTTATGATCCATGTTGGACCAAGTTTATGTATGGATACATAAAGAGTTGGACCACATGAACCCTGGATCATAAGACCCATGGGTATGGATTTGGGTTATATCCATGACCCTAGAAATCCCACATATAAATACATACTTCATTTCCTAAAATCGACATAAGTGTATTCTTGGAGTTCATGGTGGTTTTGGGTGCATGGAGATTCTCTCTCAATTTCCTCCTTTGTCCATGATGTGTTGTGATTCCACTTGAGGCTTCCACACTATTGGGGCTAAGATCTTAAAAAGGCTAGATACATCAAGACTTCAATCTCCACCATAAGGTATGTTATCTAAACTAGATTCTTGTATGGTATATGATAATTGTATGCTAGTTATAGGTTTAATACCTTGGAAACACCATTGCATGTATAATTAGTGAAAACATAGATCCAAGGTATTTAGGGTTGCATGAACACCTTAGGAGTGTTAGAATCCTCAAAACCCAACAGTGGTATCAGAGCCTAGGCTTGTTTTCAAGTTATACATGCTGAAATAGCTTAAAAATCGAAAATTCTGGCTTCCTGGGCACTGGACTCGCCGAGTCCACTGATGGACTCGCCGAGTCCATGAAGAAATTCATCCTACTCGTCGAGTAGGTTCATACACTCGACGAGTAGAAGCCCTTGACAGCATATTTTCGACTTTTAAGGCTGGAATTGGTCTAGAATCATTACCTTAAACTGTTTTGGACTTATAAAACCTGTTTTTGACGTGGTAATGATTATGGTAATCATAGGAATTATGTAAAAATTGTTTTGGACTTAAACTATTTTGGACTTAACTGTTTTGGACTTATAAAACCTGTTTATATATGTTTATATGATTCTTGAAAATTGTTGATATGGGTTGTTCATGCTGATGAGTTTTGGTAGATCATAGGAATTATGTAAAAATTGTTTGTTAGTGTAATTTTTGATCTCAATGACATTGGATGGACTCCATAAGTTGTCCTCAAATTATGGAACACCAAAAGTTTTCATGTTACCTTGTTTTATGACTTAATTTAGATTAATGAAAAAAAATATGTGTAAGTTGTTTTCAATCTACATTGATCTAAAAGTAGTTCATAAAATGTGTTTTTGTAACTTGTCCTCAAGGTTATATGAAAAGTCACACTTATGACTCTTAAAACTCATAAAAACTGCCATAGGTTACAAAATGAAGAGTCTTTTTGTCATAAATAGTTTTATGAACTCCATAACTTGTCCTCAAGTTATGGATGTTCAAGAGTCTCTTCATTAAAGTTTTTTTTAAAACCTTAATTATACTCATAAGTTATGAAAATCTAAGAGTCTTGAAAAGTTTCAAAGCTTGCCCTCAAGTTTTGGAATTTGCAAAGTTACCTCCCCATGTATACTTTAATTCCAAATTTAACCTTAGAGTTTTAAAAGTTTAAAATTCAACCTTATACTATTATAATATTAAAAGTTAATGATGATGTATATATGTATAAAGAGTAAAGTCAATCTTACCGTTAGTAGGCCTCATTCACGAAGTCAGTCTCTAAGGGGGGGGGGTATAAGGTTACTGCCTATAAAATGGCAGTTTAATGGGTGTCCACTCTCACCCGCCGCTTCCTTGACTGGTGGAGGGTCGTTAGCCGAACGGGTAGGATAGGACTCTAATTCTCCTTTCATTAAAAGTATAATGATAAATACTAAGTAACTAAACTCTTATAAATTCCCAATCTTAGTTACTTAGGAAAATATGAAATGGTGCTAACCCATGAAATTACACTTTGCACCCTTGTTAAGTCGTTAGTGTGGCGTGTGTGGTTAACCGGCACACTAACATGGGACTGACAATGTGTGGCAAAGGGTGACTTAAGTTTTATCATAGATTGGTGGAGCGCGTGTCGTTAACCGGCCCCTCGATTGGGTGATAAAATTAAGGGTACCAAGTCAATTTGCATGGTTATTCACACCTTGTTTGTGATCCTCGACATCCCAGTCACAAACTTGAGAGGGCACAATCGAGATTTAAACATGCCATTGAAATTTCAATGAATCTCAAAAGATCTAGGAGTTTCAATCCAATTAAAACTTAATAATTTATTTTGTTTTTCATGTTGGAAATTGGTAAATCGTCATTTAGCTACCTTCAAATATTTTTGTAGCTTGGATTACGACATCCCCCTTCCAAGTTATAAAATAGTTTGTTGGGTTCTAGCCTTAATATTTCATACTGGGTGTTATGTTAAGAACTTAAATCAACTGAAACTTGAATTTCTCCCTCATAGATATCTAAGTTTAGAAAACTATGGTCTTCCTCATCCTTTTTTGATAGAGCTTCACTTCCTCCTCATCCTCCAATAATTCTCCCTGACCCACAAGTTCAAAGTCACTCAATCCCTATTTGGCAAGCAAAGTCTATATGTGCTTACATCTTGGAGATTAAGTCACATATTGGCAAGCCGGGAGAGTTGGGTGTCAAAGTCTTTAGGAAGTTGACTGTTGACTGGGTTCTTCAGTTACTTCCCAAGTCATATAGTGAGTTCTTTAAGGACTGCTATGTGACAGACCATGACATGACCCTTAATGATCTTACATATTTGCTCGATGCTACTGAATCAGCAATGACTTGGAGCAATGGTAAAGCAAATTTGATTGGAAGATCTACTTCCCATGCTTCCATGGACATTGGTAATGGTAACATTGAAAGTCCAGAAAAGCTTTCTCTTCCCAATGGAAAGGGATCGGCCATGGTCAAGTCATTTGACCTAATGGTAAAGAGAAAGGCTAATTCTGAGATAGTCCTGTGCACCATTTCCAAAGAGTCCATACGTTTCTATTGCCAAGAGAAGGGACATTGGTTGCGAAGCTGCCCATTTTACCTAAAAGATCATAAGGATGGTAAAGTCAAAAAGGGGTTTGACTCTACTTCAGGTAAAGTCCACTATCTAACTCTATTAAGTTCTTATTTGGAGATTCTTAAAACATGATGTAATGTAATTACGTTTTGATGTTTTGTAGAATCAAAGAAAAGTAAGGAAGCTTAAAAAAAGAGTAAGTCGATTCTGATCGCGAATAGGTGGATTTCGATCGCATGGTTCGATGATCAGAATTTTGAGCTGCTGCTTAAGAGTTATGATATATTGCTTAGGAATAGATAACAACATGTTTTCATATGTATTTGCATTGTAAGGATAAGTTTTCCGCAAGTTTTAAAATAAAAGAAAAGTTTTGATTTTATTTATTTTAAGTATCCTTACGATGACATTTGTGAAAAAATTGTTGTTTATATCATTTCATTGATAGCAATATTGGAAAATGGATTTGATTCTTTCGTTTGTGGTAGTGTCATAATTTTCCAAATAAGGAAAGATTCTCATCACCCAAGTTTCAGTTGGATAGAAACTTGGATTCATGCAACCTGTATTGTATGATGAATAAGAATTTTTTTTCATCTTTGGGAAATTAAGACTAACTCCTTGCTCACATGCAAGTGTGAGTCAAGTGAGGGACTAAAGGATTGGGTACACTTGGTTGTGCGCTGGTCAGGTCCACCACAAAGATCGATAAGATTATTCGTTATGATTTACTAAAGTTTAGTAAATATGGTTATACTTACAAGTTTAAGTGTAATTCTGAAACATTAGAAAAGTTTCAATATATGGCAGGACGGATAAGAAGAATCAAATAAAGCAGAAAGATAAAAGTTTCTCCAATCTGAAGAGATGGGAGAGTACTTGAGTATCTTGTTTTATGATTATCTTAGTGATTATAAAACCATATCACAATTGATCCTCTAAAGACACCTTAGTGCATTTGTATGGGTAAGGAGAGGAATCATGGACTGTTGAAATGGTTAAATCAAAAGATAAATCATACTTCGTTCCAAAAAATCAAGTCTGAGAGTCATACTCTAAGATTGTAACTTGAGTGACATAATTCTAAGAAAGGTTTATAACACTTATCAAGTGTAGAGTAACATGTTTCTTACTCCTGTACATCTGAAATTGGTAAGTTGTGATGTTTTGGATAAAACAGAGACCAACTAAGACCAATTGTGAGAAGTGTTTATCTTGATAAGAATCCACACTAACTCTTGAATTTTTTTTTTTGTCAAGTAATGGTTCTTAAAAAGAGAATCTTGTATGTCAATAGGTCAGTGGGAGTCTTAAAAGATCTTGAGATAGGTTCAAGAACTAATCAAGAGTATTGTTAATCACTAGCCCACGACTTGAGGTTTGTAACCTATCGTGTTGACATATTCTTATTTCTGTGTCTATTCCAGTTAAAAGTTGACTATGCTTGTTAGTTCTATGAGTTCTCAATTGTTTGCATAAC